ACCTGATCAGGGAAAAACTCCAACAGGAATGGGCCCAGAAGAATTATGCCCAAGTTCTCTGGATCCAGCTTACTCTTAACCAGAGTCACACTGAGAAGGAGAAGAGATAAAAAAAAAAAAGGGGGAGTAAACATACAGTGAGCAGACGAAAACAGACTTACAGACAAAAACAGACCAAAAACAAAACCCAGCATAAAATGCCCCAACAAAACAGATAAAAACAAGTTTCAGGAGAAAGGAACTATCAGCACAAAGGAAACAAGATTTGTGTATGAAAGTTGATCCAAATTTACAATCACCTCATCACTCAGCGTGGATTCATGATGCATGTTTTGGGAAAGCGCGTGCATATTTTCGTGAATACTGTGGTACAACTAAATATACCTCTGTCCAGACATTCCTATGTGTTAGATCAGTGTTATTATTATTCCACTGTGATAGAAAAAAATCTGATCAGATTGCCCTTTTAAGGCAGTGAGGAGAAAAGTGAGGAGTATACGCAGACACAGAAGGAAAAGAACGATTATTTCTTCATCTGCCGATTTGTTACCAACTGTACATGCAGCAGGAGCACGCAGAGTAAGACTCAGTGTCACTGAGCAACCCTCTGAAATACTAACAGCTTCTAGCTGACCTTCTGCACCTTTTGTATGGAGGAAAGAAAAACATGATGAGAGGAATCAATAAAAAGAAATAAAAATCCCACTATGAAAAAGTTGTGTTGATGGGGCTCAGCAGGGTCAGTTGTTTTTGGTGGGTTATATCAGTAAATGCTGCATGACTTACATCACTTAAAAACTGACTGGACATGAGATTAATCTGCACACACTGAGTATGCCACATTAATTTCTTCTCAGATCATGTTTGTTTGTTTAGGAATTGCACAAAGACAGTAGATTAGCAAGATTGGTAATATTTGATTAGGATTACACCTAAATATCAAAATGTAGACTACTTGAATTGTTCGTCAGTGGATTTCTTGCACTGGATATGCTGGATTTGCTCAAAACATAGTAAGGGTGCAACAATGCCATCTAAGTGCTTGTAGATCGCAATAAGGAGACTCGTTTATATTCTTCTCACCCTATAATAACATTTCACCTCACTTTTTGGTTCCCATTATGCATCACAGCTGATTACTTAATTTCCAGACATGCAGAAAGTGAATTCACATGTTCACCAAAACAGTCTATAAGTACATTTCTATTAGTACTTATAGAATCAAAATCAAATTATATAGAAATGTATCCATGTGTTTAAAATCTCAAGAAATAATAATTTGCCAAACATAACAAAAGTCTTAGAGCTGCTGACTGTCAAAGGTCACAGGATAGATGGAAACAAAAAACTTTCACTGCTCTCAATGACGATGTTTACTTCCTAAAGTCTCGATACTGCTATTAAATACTGATGTAATCAAGATGCTATTTTTAACATAGGAATCCCGGTGAGATCTTGTTGTGTGGTAAGGAATGAGACTCTCCTGTTAGCACTGGGAGTCTCCCGTCAGTTTGCTGTGTTTTGTTGTGATGTATCGGCCATCTGGGGGTCTGTAGACCAGATTATTGGTCCGGTTACTTGGCAAGTCCAGTGACTACAGCATTAAGGCTTACTGTTCCTCAGAGGAGAACGTGCTTCTGTTTGAAGCGGCACTTTAAAGTGTTTCCTCGATCTCTCAGTCTTTCTTCCTGCAGTTAACGATCTCCCCGTAAGCCTCAATTTCTGACTCTTTCTTCCCCAGCCTTTATAGCGGGCTCTCTCTGGTCTTGCTTTATAGCAGCCTGGTAGTGAAACATGAGCAAGGAGGTGCTGACCTGGCCTGCCAGTGACTTTGGAGGTAGAATCTAAGAAGCTCTACAGGTGCCACATGGAGACGGACACACACACACACACAAACATGCACACACAAACATAAAGCGTTGAACATGCAAGCACTTACTATTCAGGCTCTGAGACAAGGTCAAGAGCTTTCATCACATCCTCCAGCAGAGACTCTGGGATGAAACCATTATCTACAGAGAGGGAGCGAGAGAAAGAGACATAAAGAAAGGGTGCTGACTTTAGACAAAACATAAGATACAAACTTGAATTAAAAAACAAGGCAAAGCCTTCACCTACACACATGTGGCATAAGAACTATTTACATCACAAGCCTGGGCAATGAACTCATCTGACACACATTTCACACAGACACCTTGTCTTTTCTCTCTGACCTACATTCCTTAAGCGTGATGATCGCTGTACCTGAGAGGAGAAGCTTTAAACACTAACATGTGTTTCTGTCCGCTGCTGTCTGGCCGTGCAGTTTTATGTCATTTAAACATCAGCATGTGAGCCCGTGCGGTCTCGTGTTTAGATATACACATAAACCCCAAATGCGATCGAAAGAACACTAACTGACAAGTGTGCTGCTAGTTCGCTCTCAAAAACTCAATCTCGTTCTACCAAGACGGAGAGATATTTTCTTAGAGTGGCAGCTGATGGTGTGACAGCGAGCAGAGAGGGCAGACAGCAGGGACAATGGCAAACAAATGTTTTTAAAAAAAAAAAGTGCAGTGGGTTACTGAGTTTGTAGTTCTTGTGAATCACTGTCGTGCGTGTGAATGTTTCTGGCGCCATTTTTCCACAACACAAGGGGCTGTGCTGACCGTACATGCGACACAGACAGATTTATGGCCCTGTTACGCAGCACTCATCTGTACAGTGCATTCTTCCTTCATGTGTGTATACGTATCCCTATAAGATTGTGGGTCCAACTACTGGAGCCCACGCATGTGTTTGTTTGAACAAGTGTTTGGGAGAAAAGACCATATGGCATGCAGAATGTCCTGGCAGATGATAGCAGAAGCAGATTTGACAACAAGCAAAGTGGTATTCTGTGCAACAGGAAGAGACAAATGAAGAACAAGGAAAGTGCAGACGATGGTTGTGTTTACATATTTGTTGTAAAAGCTGTTGGAGCCTGCAAGCTTGTTGTCAGCTGGTAGGATTTAATCATGCGGTAACATCACATCACACCACATTAAAGCTGCTCTATATCATATCCTCAACGTAAAAACGTGATATAAACAAATGTAATTTGGAGATATAATTTCAGCAGCCAGCCACGTGTCAACATCCTATGACAATTGACCTGAAAAGGGAGCTACTTCAACAACCTCCAACAAAAGCACAATGCTTTGAAAAATATGCACGACAAGTGTTCCTGCCAAAAGCTAGAAACAACACTCGCTTCACCATTTGAGGCAAAAAACACTGTTGAGAACAACCAGGCTACAAAAGAGGAGACACTAGCAGCTGGTGATGCGAGACCCAGATGTAAACAAATGACTCCACCGAGCTTTGCTGGAGCACTCATTAGCTGCACGCCATATGACAGGAAGAGCAAACGGTGGATGGAAATTACTGATGCGGTCAGATCGTGGAAAAGCAGCGTTTTAAGCAGCTGGTTAAAATCCCTCAATCCAAGATTCAGGAGTCAGTATCCCAGGTAGAAAATATTTTTATGTGACCACCTTGCACAGCTCTTGAAGTGTTACACAGGAAAGTTTTGTTATTGTTAAGTGTTAATCAGTTATTATGTACTTTCCACTTAGAGTTTCCAGGTAAAATACTACCAAGGCTATTTTTGGGCTTATATATAATTTACGCTGTTATAACACCACTGCACTATAGCCCTGGCACCTTCAAAATCAGAAAGTGTGTCATCAATGACAGTTATTAATTGTTAAAATAAATAAATAAATAAATAAATAAATAAATAAATGCTGCTGCCTGCAAGTACAGATAGTACTTTTGTTTTCCTAGATCGTCATAAATATCTGGATATCATTTAGAGATACCCACCCCTATACAAAATACAGAAAGACCTCGGCACATATCGTGAATAATGCAGCTTACAGCAATGAAGAACAGCCCAGTTCCTTTGAAAATAGGAAAACATAAATATGTGTTATAACTGGTTCCCAGCTGCACACTTTAATAATAAAATAGTTCATGCTCACGTCCTGTGTACGGCTCCTGACATCTCTTTACTGCTCACTTCACTCTCTTGTATTCAAGCAGAAGGAAAAACACTGCACGGCAGATGTTAACACTAAACGTTTCATTGCATGTTTCTCTTCTCTGAGTGAACATAAATATCTAACAATATAATCCTGAAGCTGCGTGAATGAAAATTACACACAAGATTTTCATTTCTACTGACATGACAACCTGCTGCCTCTGCTGTCATTGTCCCACTCTCTCTGTGTCTTTCCTGTGGTCTTTTTACACAGTGACTTGGAAGTGACAAGAAAGGTTTAAGAAAATGAGGAAGAGAGGGGGAAGAAGCAGGATGGTTGACTCAGCTGTTAGCTGAGCTGATCTCACTAACCTAAACAACAACAATGAAGATCAGAGGAGGGACAGGGACCCTTGTTCTCTTTGCAGAAGAAAATAATGGCGATGAGAACAACAAAGAAAAGAGGTTATGACTGCATCTGCAAGCAGGGAGAAGGAAGGAAAAGACAGTTGGGCCAGGATGTATTTTTCTCATTTTTTGTGTGTAGCTGTGTTAGTGAAAGTTCGGAATAACTAAAGTACATCCGTGTGCCAGGTTACATATAACTGGTGTATTAATAAGCAAATAAAGTAAAGTGCTCAATCAAAACCTGTGCACAGCTGGTGACAGACAGAAGGTGAATAACATGTGGACTGTATATGAATCAAACTGAGGCAAGCCAATCAATACTTAGTGTATTACTGGATCAATACTGGATAACAGCCTCAGTGCTGGTTCAGGTGTTCAGGGCAGGGAGCCGACCTCTTAAATTCAAGTCTGTGTTATTCTAAGTTTAGTATGTCAGCCATCAGCAGCAGTGCGCCCATAAACTCTTACATTTTGCATGTAGCATGGAGAGAGCTAACAACAAAGGGTGAGTGGCCTGGATGCATTTCACTTTTACTGCTAGAACAAATTCTGTTAGTGTTTTTTTTTTTGCACAGTAGTCTTTGATGGTGAAATCCTTTTTGGTTTCTCTCCTCCAGTTATTTTAGTTTTTTTTTTAATTATTTATTTTATTTGGTCAAGTTTAGACTTTTGCTGCAAAGCTTTTTAAACTTCACCCATGCCTGGTCTGCGGATAGTGAAATAGACACATTCACAGACTTGGTGAAGCAGGGAGCAGAGGAAGAAACTATTGCAAACATAGTTGAAAGTCTCTTGTGTTTTATCAAACTGCTCTCAAATGAAATAAGTGCAAGTAAATTAGGCATTAAAAAACATTGAAAAAAAAAGAAGCCCATTTTACTTTTTTTCTTGGCCTTGTTCCTTAAGTAAAGCCTGATGCTGCCTTACATATAGAAGAGTCATGCAGAGTCTCTTCTTCTCCTTCTGTAGTGAGGACTACTAATTTAAAACTGGTATCAGTCAAAGCTTAAACAGAGCTATCAGTAGTACATCTTAAATGCAAACACTTGATTTTCCGTTACCTTCAGGATCAAATGACTGGAAAACCCTCCTTGCCTGTTCTGATGGAGACTCTGGACCAACCAGTGACATCTCCTATTTGGATACAGTAGGGACAAAGAGACAAGACATTAAAGACAAGAGCAAGTAAGAAACACGTGTGCACTAGAACGTGAAGAGGTTTAACCCTAAAGTGACCACACACACATCCAATATTTGTATGCAGAGTGAGGAGAGAGAAGGAGAAGAGTTAGGTCATATTTCTGTCATTTCAGATGATCGTCTATATATCGCTATCTTTCTCTTTATCTATATCTCTACTAAGAGCAGATTTCAATTGGTCCTGCCAAAGTTGAGCAATACTAATGCACCAAACCCACTCTATATTCTAAACATGCAGCTAATACAGAGCACCACTCATAGCAGTAGGTTTGTGATTCACTGTTGGTACATTAAGCATGTATGTGTGGAACCTAAGGGGCCTGTGCAATCACCAGAATTCATTGGGTTATTAACTGATTTGCTGATAAAGTTAGATGGCTTGTTTTCACTCCAAACACAGTGTCAGGAAATCAAGTCTTAAATATCTAGCTTGTGATTTATGACGAGCTCTGCAATGTTTGTATGTTGGTAAAGTTTGGAGAGAGCAACGCTGACAGGCGCAGCAGATGTGAAGAGTTGTGTTTATCCATCTACTGTATAAGTGGTTGATACATCGTACAGCGTGCTTATGCAAAGCCTTCATTACTCTTTCTATACTGAGGAAATTGGGAATAAAAAAATAAAACCAAAAAAACCCCCCCACAACTTATCAGACTGTTAGACTCTGAAATTCTTCCTCCCACTCCATTCCACTTTCTGACTTTGTAATTGACATTTTGTCTTACTTCCCAAAACCAAAAATATGAAAGCATGAACTAAAATCTTCAGGTGTGATAAAAGGTTTAGACCCCTTTTTTTGCACACAACTGAGTTCCAATAGTAAAATCAGGAAAGTATTTTGACCCACAAGGAGGACATGACCGCAAGGTTTTTTACCCATTTGGAGTATAAACAATTTTGCCTCTGGACGCTGTTGGATGATGTGTTTGAAAATCAAGTTTGTTTAAAACATACCAAACCCTTAATACAGCACTTTAACCCCAGAGGCCTGCGATAGATCTTGTTGGACACTCCCCCCCAAAATGAAAAGAAACATCCTGACTTATCTTATCTTGCATTTAGGTATTATTTGATATTTTCAAACTTGGTGTCAGATCTTGTCAAGATTATACAGGTTTTAGAGTCGAATAACCAAAGTGTCTGATAAGCAACACTGAAAGCAATCAGTGATAAGGAGAGCGAAGGTAAATGTTAAAGTGCCCTATAAATATTTTTCATGTGTAAACACTAAAAAGAGTTTAAGAAAAAAAAAAGCTCACGGGAGATGGAGGGAATATTTTTAAGAGAAGAGAAGGTAAAGATGAAATACTTGTTCAAAACGTGAAGACAAGAGTCGGAGGGTTCTCACTGTTCTTCTTTACAAGACTGTACTTATGACAATGAATCACTGGACAAACACATAATGTTTTGGGAGAGCAAATGAACCCTCCACATCTCCTTTAGCCAGCCTTTATTAAAGCTTGAGCCTCTGATCCACACAAGCTGCTTGGGTTTCATGGTCCACTTATTACTGTATTCGGGGCTTA